GACTTATAGAGGGACTGCAGGATTGCGGCGGGCAATCTGACACTGGAGGGAACTGACTGCCACTCACATCACCATGACACTAATACAGTGATCAGTGTTAATAAAAAGCACTGACACTGTACTAATGACACTGGGCAGGAAGAGGTTAACATCTGGGGCGATCCAAGGGTTAACTGTGTTAGGGAGTGATTTGATTGTGTACTATGTGCGGTTTCACTAAGCAGACCTGCTGCTTTCTTGCACAGCAGAGACAAAAAGCAGTACGTCCATGATGACAGGAGAGAGATCTGTGTTGTTTACACACAGATCTCTCCCCTCTCAGCTTTGCCGACGATCACTGAGTCCCGGCCGAAAATCATTGGCCGGGACTCAGTGAAGAGCACTGTGTGCTGCCATGTGCAGAATTTTCATAGGCATTTGAGAAGCATTAAAAACGCTTCCCAAACGCCTGCTGACAAAGATAGTGTGAACGTAGCCTAAGGACTACATTTCTCATTGTACCTTGTACCTGCAAGCAGGGATTCCTGTACCGACTGTCTCCTGAGACTTCTCTTAGCACCTCTGTAGCACAGAAAGCAGGCTCTGTGAAATGTGTAACACAGCAATGCCTACTCACAGGGGATAGTCAATATGTCACAGAATTCAAGGAAGTAAATGTGTGGGGATCTTCATCTTCACAGAGTAAGTTTGCAAACTTCAAGATTCTTCAGATTAAGCCTGGGTTCACAAATATGCGGTGCAATTGTAAAGGCCGGTGAAGTGCGATTTCTTTATTGCACTGCAGATGCAATTCCGCTGAAAATTGTTAAGGTGTGATTGGAAAGCGCACCCGCACCACACTGAATACTGCACAGGACCATTTTTAGAAAAAAAATAATGAATTAATTAAAAGGCCCGCTTGTATGTGAATGGGCTCCACAGAAAAGGGTTTTATTTTCAAGTCATGCAAATTGGTGCAATTCAAAATGTATCCAAATTCACATATCTGTGTGTGAACTGAGGCGAACCTGGTTCTAAAGCCTAAACATTTTTTACCTTATTGCATTCCCTGCAGTAAAGTGTTACTAAACCCCGGACCTGCATTCACCCATACATGGTCTCCCCCAGACCCTGCATTCACCCATACATGGTCTCCCCCGGACCCTGCATTCACCCATACATGGTCTCCCCCGGACCCTGCATTCACCCATACATGGTCTCCCCCGGACCCTGCATTCACCCATACATGGTCTCCCCCGGACCCTGCATTCACCCATACATGGTCTCCCCCGGACCCTGCATTCACCCATACATGGTCTCCCCCGGACCCTGCATTCACCCATACATGGTCTCCCCGGACCCTGCATTCACCCATACATGGTCTCCCCCGGACCCTGCATTCACCCATACATGGTCTCCCCCGGACCCTGCATTCACCCATACATGGTCTCCCCCGGACCCTGCATTCACCCATACATGGTCTCCCCCGGACCCTGCATTCACCCATACATGGTCTCCCCCAGACCCTGCATTTACCCATACATGGTCTCCCCCAGACCCTGCATTCACCCATACATGGTCTCCCCCAGACCCTGCATTCACCCATACATGGTCTCCTCCAGACCCTGCATTCACCCATACATGGTCTCCCATAGTACACAGAGCATGGAATTGCAATTATTTTAGTAAATATAAATTGCTAAAAATCTTCTCATCAGCAGTTAGAGCAGTCTTGGGACTTCTATCAGTGTCCAGCCAAGCACTGTTTAAAGCTTGTAGAAGGAGATTTCATTCAGCTCTAGGAGAATGCAGGACCCCGTCTGGACATTGCTGATTAGCCCTGTGATGATCACATGCAACCCTAAAAAAAAAAAAAACACTCTCTAGCAATACACACCAAACTGAGTATATGCAGAGTGCCTTCTGGGGCTCTGTACTATCAGTGGATAGATTGGGAACTGTGGAAGAAGGTAAGGATTAGAGAAGATAGGATCAAACAGCCTTTTACACAATGCAGAGGATTAACCCCTTAGATTCTACATTGAGTATTTTCACATTTTACTGCATATACAGACTGATTTTACTGTTGTGGGTTTAGTAACACTTTAAAGGTAAAAATGTTTAGGTACCAATATTGCCCCCTCACTGCCCCCCCGCCCCACTATACTGACTGGAGTCCTAACTCGACCCAGTTCTGTGCCTGTCTGCAGTGGCTGTTCTCTCCTGGTTCTCACAGGCTTTGCCGAGACCGCAGAAGCCATTGTCCCCTGCTGCTGTCAGTCAAATCCTGTGATGAGGTAGCAGGTGGGGGGTTGCTGTGCAGGTAGTGTAGCTTGGGGTTGAGCCTGCAGGTGTGCAACAATAGAAAGTAGCTTCCTATGGTGTCACACCAAGAAGAGAGGAGGAGCAAGGGGGGGACCCAAGAGGAGGAGGATTCAAGATTGCAGGTATGCATATTAGGACATATGGTTTGTGCAGTGTGCTCAGATCATAGCTCCAAGTCTACAATTCGCGACCTTTCCCAATCAAACCCTGAGAATATCTGACACCATGTGTGCCATTTAATATGAGCAGACAATCAGACAAAGGGAAAAGATTCTGCTTACGCCAGCGTGAACTATATATCTCCATAGTAAAAGTGACTGGATATTCATGGTAATTATAGCACCGCTCTCTTTATTATGCCAATAAACTCCGGATAAAAGCTGTCCCAGTTCTGAAACACAAGAACACTAACACAAGGGAAGGGGGGGGGATGTAATGACATGCTCTGCACAGACACTGCAACAGGACATTAAACTGGCCCAGACCTGGATGCTTCTATGTTGTTGGATGACATTTATGACCCAGCTGGTCAATAGTACTGACCAAGACAAGGTGAGGATCTATATTCCATGGAACACTCGCCCAGAGCCAATACTGAAGCTAAACCCCAACCATCATCCATCCATCCCCCTCCTGCACCACAACCGCCCTGAGTACAATCTGTTGCAGTGCCTTGTATTCTGCAATGGTAGCAGAAAGTCATGGGAGCTGCACTTGCCAAGTAGCAGCAGCTATTAGATTGTGAAAGATCAGAGCTGACAACCTGTGATCTGCAGGAGAAGCACAACCCCTACACACGAGGAGCGGGGTGTGCCGAATCCTGCACCTCAACCTCTCACATCCTCCAAGTTGTCCCTGCCAGGTCTGCCTGCGGTTTAATAGAATCCTGTATAGGACTGCTCACCTACTGATTACCTGTACATAGCGCGACGTAGAATCGCAGACAAAGTGCAAACAGCAGACTACAATGGAGGGACAAAGAAAGTGCTGCGGGGAGCGAGGCCCCCAATGGTAAACAATGAGCACGAGGACAGTCAGGCCGGGGACAGCTGTCAGGTGATCCCTCCACTCCCTGACAGAAGCAGCCAGAAACAACAAACACAATTACTACCCCCCCCCCCCCCCCGGACTGCTCCAATACATCCTTCTGGCATACGCAGGGTTAACCATCAGTCACTCCATTGTACCCTCCTGTCCCTTATGAAGCTCCAACACCCGCCCACTAATCCAACTACACCAGCCATCAATCACAACTTCCACACACCCAGCTGCCAATCACAGCCTCCCTACACCCCGCCAATCAATCAGCACCATCCAATACCCCTCCATCACCTATATCCTCCTGTCATCCTCATCCTCATCACCTATATCCTCCATCACCTATATCCTCCATGCAACCTCCTCTCATCCTCCATCACCTATATCCTCCATGCACCCTCCTCTCATCCTCCATCACCTATATCCTCCATGCACCCTCCTCTCTCATCCTCCATCACCTATATCCTCCTGTCATCCTCATCCTCCATCACCTATATCCTCCTGTCATCCTCATCCTCCATCACCTATATCCTCCCTGCACCCTCCATCACCTATATCCTCCCTGCACCCTCCATCACGTATATCCTCCCTGCACCCACCTGTCATCCTCCATCACCTATATCCTCCTGTCACCCTCATCCTCCATGGATCCACATCCACCCTCATCCTCCCTGCACACTCATGTCATCCTCATCCTCCATGGATCCACATCCTCCCTGCACACTCCTGTCATCCTCATCCTCCATGGATCCACAGCCTCCTGTCATCCTCATCCTCCATGGATCCACATCCTACCTGCGCCCTCCATGGATCCACATCCTACCTGCACCCTGTCCTCCTCATCCTCCATGGATCCACATCCTCCATGCATCTTCCTATCATCCTCATCCACCATGGATCCACATCCTCCCTGCACCCTCCTCTCATCCACCATGTATCCACATCCTACATGCACCCTCCTGTCATCCTCCTCCTCCTCCCTGCACCCTCCTCAATGGATCCACATCCTCCCTGCACCCTTCTCTCATCCACCATGTATCCACATCCTCCATGCACCCACCTGTCACCCTCATCCTCCATGCACCCACTGTCACCCTCATCCTCCATGCACCCACCTGTCACCCTCATCCTCCATGCACCCACCTGTCACCCTCATCCTCCATGCACCCACCTGTCACCCACATCCTCCATGCACCCACCTGTCACCCACATCCTCCATGCACCCACCTGTCACCCACATCCTCCATTTACCCTCCTCTCACATTCTCCATGCACTTTCCTGTCACCTACATCCTTCATGCAACCCCCCCACACACCCTTCATGCACCCCCCCCCATGCACCCCCAACACCCACATCCTCCATGTACTCTCCTCTCACATACTCTATGCACCCCCTGTCACCCACATCCTCCATGCACCCCACTGTCACATACATCCTCCATGCACCCCACTGTCACATACATCCTCCATGCACCCCACTGTCACATACATCCTCCATGCACCCCCCTGTCACATACATCCCCCATGCACCCTCCTGTCACATACATCCTCCATGCACCCCCTGCCCCCGCTGTCACCCACATCCTCCATGCACCCCCTGCCCCCGCTGTCACCCACATCCTCCATGCACACACAGCTGTCACCGCTCCCCTCCTCACCAGACAGGTTCCTCCTCTCTCCCTCGCCCTCCTCCCGTCGGTCCTCTCATAGAAGCCCAGGGTCTCTGCCGTGGCGGCTCTCTTCCCTCCATCCTCCTCTTTGTCCTCTCCGCTCAGAGCCGCCGCGTCCGCCATCCCCAGCCGCGGCGGCAACTAGTGCAGAGCCGAGTCTACCAAACAGCGGACGTCATCACAAGGCGCCGCTCAGGGTGGAAGGAACGCTGACTGCGCTTACTGAGGAGGCGGGGACTGGACGCACCTGCAGCCATTTTGATTATGGTCATCCTGCCCGGACCTCATGACTTCATACATTAGGCACCTGGTGTGAGGAGCCGTGTGTGGTGGGCTCAGTTACCTCGCCTGCTGTGTCTGGGTTCAGGGACTCAACATCTGTCCTGTACATACAATGGCTTTACTATAGAAGGGCTTGAACTCCAATAGTTTTACAATGTTTGAGCTACCAATACCATCTACAGAGAAGACACTGTCACCCATGTACTCCCCCGCACCCTCCTCCTGTCACCCCTGTACTCCCCGCACCCTCCTCCTGTCACCCTGTACTCCCCGCACCCTCCTCCTGTCACCCATGTACTCCCCGCACCCTCCTCCTGTCCCTGTACTCCCCGCACCCTCCTCCTGTCCCCGCACCCCCTCCTGTCATCCCTACTCCCCGCACCCTCCTCCTGTCAACCACCCATGTACTACCCCGCACCCTCCTCCTGTCACCGCTACAATCCCCGCACCCTCCTCCTGTCACCCCTACAATCCCCGCACCCTCCTCCTGTCATCCCATTTACTCCCCGCACCCTCCTCCTGTCAACCTATACTCCCCGCACCCTCCTCCTGTCACCCCCTATACTCCCCGCACCCTCCTCCTGTCACCCATGTACTCCCCGCACCCTCCTAATGTCACCCCTGTACTCCCCGCACCCTCCTCCTGTCACCGCTACAATCCCCGCACCCTCCTCCTGTCACCCCTACAATCCCCTCACCCTCCTCCTGTCATCCCATTTACTCCCCGCGCCCTCCTCCTGTCAACCTATACTCCCCGCGCCCTCCTCCTGTCACCCCCTATACTCCCCGCGCCCTCCTCCTGTCACCCCTATACTCCCCGCGCCCTCCTCCTGTCATCCCATTTACTCCCTGCACTCTCCTCCTGTCACCATATACTCCCTGCACCCTCCTCTTGTCACCTCCTATACTTCCTGCACCCTCCTCCTGTCACCCTACTCTTCCTGCACCCTCCTCCTGTCATCCCTATACTCCCTGCACCCTCCTCCTGTCACCCCTATACTCCCTGCACCCTCCTCCTGTCACCCCTATACTCCCTGCACCCTCCTCCTGTCACTCCATATACTCCCTGCACCCTCCTCCTGTCATCTCATATACCTCCTGGACCCCCTCCTCCTCTCACTTATATTCAGTGAAGGAAATAAGTATTTGATCACCTGCTGATTTTGAATGCCCACTCACAAAGAAATGATCGGTCTAAAAATCGAATAGTAGGTGTATTGTAACACTGAGAGACAGAATAGCAACAACAAATTCAGAAGAAATGCATGTCTAACAAATTATGTACTGATTTGCATGTTTATGAGGGAAATAAGTATTTGATCCCCTTCACAAAACATGGCTTGGTGACAAATCCCTTGTTGGCAATCACAGAAGTCAGACGTTTCCTGTAGTTGGTCACCAGGTTTGCACACATCTCAGGTGGGATTTTGACCCACTCCTCTTGGCAGATCCTCTCCACATCATTAAGGTTTGGTGGCTGACGTTTGGCAACTTGAACCTTTAGCTCCCTCCACAGATTTTCACTCAGATTAAGGTCTGGAGACTGGCTAGGCCACTCCAGGACCTTAATGTGCTTCTTCTTGAGCCACTCCTTTGTTGCCTTAGCCATGTGTTTTGGGTCATTGTCATGCTGGAACACCCATCCACGACCCATTTTCAATGCCCTGGCTGAGGGAAGAAGGTTCTCACCCAAGATTTGATGGTACATTGCCCTATCCATCTTCCCTTTGATGCGGTGCAGTTGTCCTGTCCCCTTAGCAGAAAAACACCCCCAAAGCAGAATGTTTCCACCACCATGTTTGACAGTTGGGATGGTGTTCTTGGGGTCATAAGCAGCATTCCTCCTCCTCCAAACACAGCAAGTTGAGTTGATGCCAAAGAGCTCGATTTTGGTCTCATCTAACCCCAACACTTTCAACTTGTCCTCCTCTGTATCATTCAGATGTTCAATGGCAAACTTCAGACAGACCTGGGCATGTGCTTTCTTGAGCAGAGGGACCTTGCGGGCACTGCAGGATTTCAGTCTTTGTCGGTGTAGAGTGTTACCAATTGTTTTCTTAGTGACTGTGGTCCCAGCTGCCTGGAGATCTTTGACAAGATCCTCACGTGTAGTTCTAGGATGATTCCTCACTGTTCTCATGATCATTGACATTCCACGAGGTGAGATATTGCATGTGTTGCACATACGGTAAATAATTCAACTGTGCGAAGGATGGGTCGGGTGAAACCAGAAGTGTTTTATTGGGAATGGCTGTAACAAACACAGAAAACCGTGTATTACATGTGACTGGATATGTTCACTGTAATCACTGTCCTCTATACATTACTAAATATTTCCATATACATTAATAAGTATTTTCATATACATTAATAAACATCTTGAATTGCAATACTGAATATCTAGACCTCTGCAGATATGCTAGTGACCTATTCTGCATAACAATAGTGTATTACAATAGAGAAATCACGTTCCCTGTATCTTAGTGCCAAATCACATAGCTGCAATATATATTCACATTTATGCTACAAGTAATCTGATTGCATAATAGTAACAGCGACATTTACTAACCACCAGGGCACATGTTAAGTCATTTTGTCCTATTTATCATGCTAAACAGCCTCCTGCTTACCTGTAACAAACACAGAAAACCCTTAATTACATGTGACTGGATATGTTCACTGTAATCACTGTCCTGTAGCTTCACTTCGAGTACAATTATATGCATGGACTACCTTTGCTAGTGAATTTTTCCAGTCCTTTTTGGAATCTGGTGACAGGGTACGAAGCATTGATAACAGGGTACGATTAAATCTTTCAACTTGCCCATTACCTTCTGGGTGATATGGCGTTGTGTGAGAATTTTGGATGTGGCAGTGCTTCCCTAATGTCAAAAACAAGTGATTTTCAAACTCTCTACCCATATCATGGTGAATTCTGGTAGGGAATCCGAATTTCAAGACAAAATCATTGAATATTTTGTCAGCAACAGTTTTTGCGGACTTGTTCTTGGTTGCATATGCCTGAGCAAATCTTGTAAAATGATCTATTACCACTAAGATATACTCATATCCACCCTTTACACATTTCTCTAGATGAAGAAAGTCAATGGAGACCATCTCAAAAGGATAAGTTGTCACAATATTGTTCAACGGGGTCCGAACAAGCTTATTTGGCCGTTTGTCTTTCAGACAAGTACATTGACGTGTGATATAATGCTCAGTGTCCCTTTGCATGTGTGGCCAAAAGAATCTTTCTCTGATTAAATTTACAGTCCTTTCTACTCCTAAGTGTCCCATCTCTTCATGTAACTCCTTCCATACTAAGTGATGGTACAACTTGGGCAACACTAGTTGAGAACCAGATGATGTTTTCCGTCTCAAAATTTTATTGTCGTCGAGGTAGAGTTTGGTCCACTGTTTCATAAGTATGAAAAGATCAACAGGTTCACCTTGTCGTTCCTGTTTGGATGGAAACTTGTTTTGGCTTTTATACTTCCATACTTTTCCAATCACAGAGTCTTCCTTCTGTGCGGTTCTTATTGTCTCTTTTGGTATTTGAGTTACCTTCTTTGGTGCTGCATCAGTTGTATTGGCAATCGTCATTGGACATAGCCAAGGTATCCTTTCTTTTTGATGTGCTTGAATTGCTTGGGTTATGCAAGTGATAACTTTGGGGTCTACTGCTTGTGAACATTGTTGCATGTATTGTTCAGGACTCAATGGCATACGAGAAAGTACATCTGCATCAGCATTCCTTCTCCCAGGACGATATTTAATAGTGAAGTTGAAGTCAGCTAGTTCTGCAACCCATCGATGTCCTGTTGCATTCAATTTTGCTGTAGTGAGGACATAGGTTAGTGGATTGTTGTCAGTATATACAAGTGATGGACAGTAATATAGGTAATCTCGGAATCTATCACATATTGCCCACTTCATTGCTAGAAACTCGAGCTTCCCTGAATGCATGTGGTAGTTTTTCTCAGCAGGTGTGAGAGTTCTAGACCCATAAGCAATCACCTTTAGTTTCTCCTCTTGCTATTGGTATAATACGGCTCCTAGTCCTTCTTGTGAGGCATCACAGTGAAGAACAAAGGGTTTGGAATAATCGGGGTAACCCATAACTGGAGGATGAGTTAACACTTCAATGAGCTGGTTCAGTACTATCTGATGATGGTCAGTCCAGGCTATAGACTGATAGGATGGAAGTTTTTCCTGTATACTGTAGTATTGCTGTTTTAAATCCTTTAACTGTTGTTCTGCTTGAGGGTCTTTGCCACTATCGCTTGGTGCTTCCATGTTATCTCTATTCTCTAACTCACCAATGAATTTCTTAGTTGCCTGCAGAAATTGTGTCACCACTTCTTCACTTTCAGTCTCTACCAGTTCATCTAACACCTCATTCACTATCCGCATGTAATGGCGCCGGGTTTTTCCTTTTGCCATACTTGCTTCGGAGGCCTTTATAAACTGGCAAGTCTCCATGAGATCATCGACTGTCATGTGAATCAGGTGTTCACTGATTTCATCTTGCAACTTTTCGATATCCATACTCCTAATGTTTTTCTTTAACTTCACCACGGACAGTGTAGTCACTAGTATCTTCTATTGACAAAGATAGATTACTGTTATATTAGGTATTAGGCTTTGGATTTAAATTTTATGGGGCTGCCTATTTTCTACACCTCTTACACATGGTGCACCAGACCTATGGAGACTGACAGTTGTTTTGTGTTTATTCCATTTGTGAATGATTGCACCAACTGTTGTCACCTTCTCACCAAGCTGCGTGGTGATAGTTTGGTAGCCCAGTCCAGCCTTGTATAGGTCTACAATCTTGTTCC